AAGAAGAATTAAGTTCTACCGTGTCTTACATTTTCGAACTGCTTAACAAAACTCACGAAATCCGGGTTATCGTGAACGTGGGTAGCCAGTTATGTCTTTCAGGAACAGAAAACCGCTTTCACTGGTCGTCGTAATGTGCAGAGATGTGTGTGTGTGTGTGTGTGTGTGTGTGTGTGTGTGTGTGTGTGTGTGTGTGAGTGTGCATCGTTGTGAAATCAGGTTTGGTAATTTGTGTCAAATTTTTTTTTTTTGGCTTAACACCTGTTATGTCAATTTTAAAAGACACTGTACTGTGGATTTAACTGAAAATCGTTGATTAACAAATAAAATAAAACAATTAAAAAAAATACAAATTAGCAGCCTGAGAGCCAGAAATAAAAGAAGCGGGGATGAATTGACCTATCTTCCTACTAACGTTTATTCGCTGAAATCATGGAAATGTGGGGCCGCGATCGAGCGATCTATGCTATCCCCGCATCAGTTGAAGGATGAGTAATGTGTGCGGCGTGTGACGGGGCTGAGTCAGTGGGTGAGATCGATGCTGTTGTGTGAGTGAGCAGTGCTAGCTAAGCCTCAATTGGATGTTCCCGGCTCACTGTCGTCGGTCGAGCATACTCATCTGACAGCGGAAGTCCGCGCCTACCCATAACACCTGTCATGGCAACGCTGCATGGATGTGGTCCTTCGTTTGTGTCGTCGGCCGTCGTCACGAAGGTACGGTGTGGGTGGTTGGCGGGTGCTCTGGTGTGGTTTTCTTCTTCTTTACTATCAAACGTCTATCGTATTTTTCTCTTCTCCTTTTTGTTTATTTGTTACTCTCGTGTAACACCTCTAATCTTCGGCACTTATATGACATTAGTGTTGCTAGTGCCGTAAAACACTTACTGAAACTAAACGAAGGTACGACCTTTTCACAATCTTTCAAGTGTGAGACGTAACTTATTTTGGGATTTTCTTGTTTTTGTTTTGTCTTACTTTTTCACTGGTTTTTACAGGACGATACTTTTCGGTCCTACCCCCCCCCCCCCCCCAAGAATTATTCGAAGCTTCGACTCGTAGGTAAGGAAAACACTGCCACGGCTTACCTGGCCAAAAACGAACACTCTTCTTGAGTGGAGCAACGTTTTCGTTCCCGTTCATGGTTATTTCCAAATTCGGAACAATAAAAAAAAACTTTGACGTGGGTCAGTTTCTTGTCTCAGCGATCATAATGTAAAGAATGTAAAGGTAATGCTGTGCAGCCAGCACAGGGGAAGATTTCATCACAGATACTAAGGCAGAAAAGGTTATGTCACTCAAACGCGCACGCACGCGCGCACACAC